AAAGAGGTTGGCTTTTAAAATGATCTAAACTTATCTTATTTTCTTGTACTGGATTTTTCTCTTTCTTGTATTGTAGAAGGACAAATAAATAAATAAAATAAATCAGCTACACAAAAGACAAAACCACTGTGGTGTAAAAATAAGCTTTTTTCAAAACATGGGAGATGTTACTGACGGCCCAAGGTGTGTAATAACTGACAGTGTGTTAGTGTAGAGTTACTGAAGATCAGCATTTCTTTACATATTGGAGGATTAAATGACAACAGCTTTGCAAATGAAACTGTGCTGTACTGCACAACTTATTCAAGCAATATGCTTGATTGGTGTTTGTGGACTGGCTGGTAATCATAGTAAACATCAACTGCCTCAATTGTGTTGTGTGAAAAAAATTACAAATTTCCATTCTCTTCCAAAACCGCCGTTTATATCAGGAGTGGGAGTATGACTCATAGATGTGACACATACGTGTAACTTTGACTTTTCCAATGGCTGCCAATAGAAGCAACCATTTTAGAAAAGATGGACGAGAACAAGACCTTATTAAGATAAGATTGTCCTCCTGTCATTATAAAATTAAACTGTGACAAATATGCGCTGGGCTGCTGCATATTGATGTTTAATAGCAGATGGAGGAGACACTGGAGGTCAGTGATGCTGTGAAAAAGCAGAGCTCACCTCAGGCAGCGGACAGCAGCCCCACTTTTCAAAATTCTTCATGTAGCAGCAGGTGGTCGACTGAGGGCAGCTGGTGTGGGCATCACAGTTAATCATGCCTTCTTCTTCTTTGTCCTCCTCCTCTGCTTTAGAGCTTGTTGCTGGACTCTCAGTTGTAGGCTGCACAGTAGTAGGTGCTTCAGTAGTGAACGCAGGTACCTTCTGTAGCATGGGAGTTGAGCCTGATGGGCCATTGCAAGACACAGAGGTCGGGTCACAGGTGGTGCCGCTCGGGCAGCAGTGTTCGTGATCGTCGCAGCAGACCGCCTTTTATGCAAAAAGACAAAAGTGCAGTCAGTCAAAGACAAATACAAACAGAAGCCTGACAATGCTTGGCAAAGCAATGTTGACAAAAATAAAACAGGTTAAATGCAATGTAGATTAAAGATATTATTTGATATTTCTAGAAATACAACAACCTGCTTTTATGTTTTGTCAGGCACTACACAAACAAACTGACTGTGTCTGTGCAGAGGCTAGCAATTACAAGGGTTAGTGCAGTCACAGAACTTTCTTTTGTTTTTAAGTAAAGTGGGTGCAGCAGTAAATTATGTAACACACGCACCGTTACAATGCACTTGTCCAGTCTTACTGACCTCAGAGTAATTTTACACTCTTAACAAGTCACATTTTTAACCACAGACTCTTTATTTTCTGTACACTTCTTGCTGTGAGACAACAATGTTAACCACGAAACCACTGTGTCACCGTGGTGGTGTAAAGAATACTCAATACAGGAACAGTTAGCCAGCTAGCTGTAACTTAGCTAGCAACATGCTTAGGCATGTATTGGTAGCTTTGTCACTGTAAGTCAACTTTTACCTCATCAATATGATACTTAAGTGGTCTCCAGTTTTTGTAAAAGATGCAGGACATACAGCACGTACAGCAGTTTAAGCTCCTAACAGGTTCCTGGTGATAGCTGCATGCAGCCATCCAGGGTGAGGGAACTTTAGGTTACCAACAGTTTTCTGTTTGGTGTAAATTTGACATTCTGTGTGTGTTAATAAAGTACTTTTGAGAAATGTGGTCTAAAAACCGATTTCAGTCCAATGCTAACCTCTGGCATTGGACAGCAGGCCCAGCGACCTTCTTTGGTTTTACAGCAGGTGGTGTTATCAGGACAGGCTGCTGTGTGATCACAAGGAACTTTCTTCTCCTCCGCCTTTTGCTTTATGATTGCAGGAACCTTCTTGGCCCAGGGCACAGAGATCAGGCCATCTTCACAGGTTTGAGCCTCCAAGTTACATTTCTTCCCTTTAGGACAACAGTGTATGAAGTCTTCACAGCAAACAGCCTGGAAA